TCAGGTAATTTGAGTGCCTATGCAAAGATCTGAACACATGGAAGTCCTCCCAACACCACAAAGATTTAAATAATGACACTAGGAGTGTGAAATTCAACCTGTGGCCTAAGCTAAAAGGTTTTCTCAATTGTGTCTTCTCTAGGTTGTCACGGAGGAAGTCCTGTGGGTGAGATAGAGTCAATGGATCATAGATCAAGTGTACAAAGTCTTGGGTCGCGGCGGAATCAGCTGCGCGTGCCATAGTCCTGGCAATCATGAATTGATGCCTTATGTAGAACTCAGACACTTGACATCGGCAGCAACATCCCGATATCTCAACGAATATCCGGCCGTTTTGCATGAAGTAAAGACGTAGCCCGCACTATTCGAAGGGGTGCTATCGATTATATGTCACGAAATCCCCGCAAACCCCAGGGTAAAAAAGTTGTGTGCAGTTTTATCTTAGGTGTCTGGGTTCCATGGGGGGGGATAGTATGAGACGCTGTGATATGGACTGCGGTTCCGTGAGTTGTCTGACCGGGTGTGGTATAGTCAGGCAAATGCACGAAGTTAATTTGTCCTCTAGAGGAAAATTTCTCTGTCACGGAGATTCGTCTGCTACTGTGGTACACGCGATGTTATGTATTTATAAAGGGTGGTGGTGGTGGTACAGCTCCTTCCGTACGGAATGAACAGTTTCGCTAGGTTCCTCGAGGATTCATTTCCTCGTTGGGGGGCTAGCCTTCCAAGAAAGCTTCGATCGGAGGGTTTTCTACACTTGCGCGAAGGGCACTGCTCCGCAAGATGAACGCTGTTCCGAGTCGAGATGCCTGGGCTATATGGTCCCTTTTCCTATCTCCTTGCCTCATATAGGTTGGGCAAGCAGTGTCTTCAGAACTGTTGAGCACAACATGTACGGGTTATAGCGTGGTCCTTCGTAACCCAGCTTTTTCTCTACGCTGTGGTGGTACGGCCAAGGAGTTTCAATTCTGTGGGCGTGCGTGTGGTGAAATGGTGAGAATGAATCGTGGAGTGGTTATAATCAAATCGGATAAGCCTTCCGCAACGATGGGGGTGGTACTCCACACACGTATCTCCATTCACTCCGAAAAAAGGCTCGTTTCAGGGTTCCTGATCTTGTTACTGAATCTAGAGATATCAGTAACATAATAAGTAGAGTAGATATTGTACCTGAAATGAAAGTTTTTTACCAGCCTGATTATGTTGCCGAAACGGGTCATATCGGCATCCATTTCCGATGTCCCAAAACCTTCCGTTTCAGGTGCAGTAGACGGCTTCCCAAAACCCAGCCTGATACCTTTAGTATCAGGAACAGTATCAGGGAATTAAGAACAATTAGAATCAGGAACAATATCGGGCATCACCCCGAAACTATTGTTTTCAGGCGGCCCGAAATCGGTTCCGAACCGATTTCCGGCCGGCCGATACTTATTGTTTCGGGGTGCTGCCTGATATTGTACCTAATACTTATTGTTTCGGCTCTCCCAATACTCCTCCTGATACTATTAGTATCAGGAACAGTATTTGGAACACCGAAATGGTGTCTGAAACGGCAGGTTTCGGGGCCGCGGAACCTGATGCCGATATGATCTGTTTCAACAACAAAATCAACTTGTAAAAAACTTTTGATTTCAGGTAAAGTATCTCCACAAATTATTCTGTTACTGATATCTCTAGTTTCAGTAACAAGATCAGGAGCCCAGAAATGACCCTTTTTTCGGAGTGATTCGAGGCCCAAGCCAACGGTTACACACTGCTCAGTTGGGCTGCTGGCCATTTAGAAGTTTTGCCGCGTGTTCTACAACCACACAAGCTATCAACACCAATGTTTTCTATAATTCCCTCTGGCTCATTCTATTGAACCAGAAGTACTACGGACAAGCCTCCTTGTTTGAAGCTTCAGCCCAAATTGACCTTGGTTGGTCCCACAGAGGGCGGCACAACCTGAGCGAGTATGCATTTAACTAGATTCTCACCCCGTATGTTCGAGGGGGGGTAGCTTAGGTATGAGCAGTGGGAGGTAATAAGATGCCATTCTTCTACTCTGCTTTTATACTAATTCTTTTCCGACCACCGCACGCGACCTTATTCCTCATTTGTCCATGGACCCCTTTCAACACCGCCCTCTTCGCCTCGCGGCGGGGATATCCATGCTTTCCCGTGTCTGAAGGAGATACCTAGCTCACGGACTGTAACGTTGCTGCCCGTGGCACCCAATTTCCGTACTCCGTAGCTCGTACCTCCTTGAGTAGCTTCGATATGTGTGTCTTCCGTCTGTGGCACCCGAACACGGTCAATGGCGTCTGAGAGCTCTTCTCACCATCGTTGATGTTCCTGCCCCACGAGCTTGAATTCACACCCCTTTGCCCGTTTGCTCCAAAAAACGACTGCGGCGTCGTCCCCCCCATACAAGTCCATCTCCCAGAGCGAAAGGACCAAGAGTGCCACTAGCATCTTGTGGGCTATATCCGCAATACTGTACTCAGGCGGAGATGTCAGGGATACGACCGAGAGGGAAATTTGGCAGAAGGCGCTCGCGGTAGATGGGAAGCAAGGGGAAGAGGTCATGGATGGACTCGGGACCGGGGTGTTGGAGGCGAAAGTGTTCGTTACAGGAACACCGAATCCAAGCAAGGAAGAGTTTGTCAGGGACGAAAGGAGGCTCGGGAAATGGGGTGTCGGTGGTAGCAATCGTGCGCAAAACCACGGCCCAGGTGAGGCAGTTGATTATCACGGGAATGCGTGGGCCCAGCTAGTGACAAAAAGGGTTGGGCTCCAGGGAGTTTGTAGGATCAATGACAGGGGGGGAATAGGGACGGGGCTGGAAGAAGGATCACCATTGTTGGTGTCCACGTGTGTTATAAACCGAAAAGCAACGAGAGGCGGCGAGAGACGGGACACATGTTGGAATATTTGATCATGTTCCATACTCGTATTACTCATGTGATGAGTAAGTCCCCCGGGATGCCCGAGGAATCCCCGAAGTACTATATAAACTGTGTAGTAGTTAGTAGTGCTTTACTTGATTGCTTTAGAGCAACTTACCCCAAGCTCAGCAAGCGAGCTTGCACCCCCAATGATGTGCTGATGGTGCTTCGATTCGTATCACTGCCGTCATTACTACAACACAATCAAGTTCCTTCCCACAACCAGGAAGTTAAAGACCGGGTCCCCGTCGAAGCACCGTTCCGTGTATCATCGTATCGAAAGTCCTGGAGACTTTAAATCCACTGTTGATGTTGTCACCCGTCGTTACATTGCCCCCAGACCGAATCCCCGAACCGCCGTTCCCCGTACCCCGCTGTTACCGAAAGTCTGCCTGCCCGAAAGCGGCACCGAGATGGGCTATCCAAAACCCGCGACTGGAACTGTCTCCTTGTGGTAGCTGACTGGGAACTGAATCCGAAAGCCCACAAGTAATTGACTTCCTACCCTCGATTCGCCCGACACCTTTTATACCTTTTCCAAGCCAGTCATGTTGTCCGTCCCGTCGGTGTCCACAGCCTCGTTCCACATGCTCCTCAAGTCTCTTTTCTCCTTTCGTGCCATTCTGAGCTCCCAGACTGCGGACATTGAGCTTCATGAGCACTCAGAGGTGTCGAAACTCCGAGATACCGCCGCTTCCAAGTGTTCGTAAAGGATTCACGACGTTCTGACTTGTCGGAAAGTGGTGGATGGTCGTTTGGTTGTAGACATGGCTATCTGGCCGTCGAGGGTCGCTCAAGAGTCGTTTGTAAGGTTGTATGGGGGCTCGGATTGGCGCGAGTCGGCAGGTCAAAACCGTGCGCGTGGTCAGGTCTCCCCGCGAACCCCGAGCGTGCCTGGTTGCCATCCTGGCAGTGTCTGGTACTTGTACGAGCCGTTGGAAATGCTGGAATCGTCGAATAACGAGTTGTTGGAAGTAGATCCGAATGAGGCAATGTCGTTTCCTAATCGGGTGAACTCGAGTGAGTGGGAATTCCGAGCTGTCATGTCTCGTCCAGACAAGCCATGAGGCGGTGTGAGCAGTGCAGCGCGAACACAAGCCATGAGGCGGTGTGAGCAGTGCAGCGCGAACACAAGCCTCACAGCGGCACAAAAGGAAAAGGAACAAGAAGATGAAGAGAACAGGTGATTGCAAGAGGCAAGCAGATCACTGATCTCACACATATGGCAAGGGATGGTTCGCACGTGCTTTGATCTGTGTGCGAGATCAGTGATCCGCTTGCCTCTTGGGCGATTGCAGACTAGCGAAGAGAGGTCGGGGTTTGATTTTGGGTCGCTGAGGACATCGACCTTGAAGAGGGGGGTAATGTGATGATCACGCTCAGATCATAACGCAGCATGCCTAAATCCACACCGACACATCGGGGTTCAAAGTTCGGCACGACGGCCGGGACAGAGGCAACACCAATTGGTAATATAGTATCACACTGATCGGGGTACAGGAGTTCCAGTGGTTGTAAAGCCCGATGCAGCGGTCATTCGATCGTTTAGGAGAACACACTATCGTTCTCCTCTACTGCCAACCTTAAACGCTAAATTAGTTACCAGGCACCAAGTGATCACCAAGGGCTTTTCTTAGTATAAAAGCAGTAGTAGAATCTAATGTACAGTAGATTCTACCTCGCCTAATCTCAGGCTCTACTTTGGTCTGAAACTGGGCTTGACTCTCGCTTTAAACCCGCTCGCTATCTATCACTCTCGGGGTTTAACTCTATCCATATCCCGTTATCTGCAGGACGTCTTCCTCATATACCAGGGTCTCGCCATACCAGCACGTTGTACACGTACACGTAACACGACACCTGATCACCTACACCGGGGTTTGAAGTCCTAGTCAGGTTCTCTGCCAAAAGCCAACATCAGGCCGACCCTAGCGCTGACACACGAAGGGAGTGTATCACAAAGTGATAGCTCACAACGCGCCACAAGTTAGAGAACAAAGTCGTAAAGTTTTCCTGCTGTTTCCAGTGTTGATGAGTGTGGTGAAACAGGGCAAGATGTGCCAGCAGCCTCCCGCCTGTGTGGCTCAACGGTAGAGCACTTCAGCCCAGTCAATGTCTTGCACACTGTTCTCGAAGGGATGTGGGCTCGACTCTCACTGCAGGCGTGATCAGTGCGGGACACGCTTTTTGATTTTTGTCTCTTTGATGCTTACATCTTACTGTACTTGCCTCGATTTTACTCACCACCCTTACGGGGAGCTTGCATCATGTCTCCGTAGATCAACGGTGATCACCTTGCACGTATAATACTGAGTAGTGCTCACCGTGACGAGGGATGCGAGTTCGACTCTCGCCGGAGGCCTGAACACCAAGCGATGCTTTTATGAACTTTCTTTGTTTTCCTGCCTGGATCCTTCAATCCTTCAAATTTGATGTACGTACCTACACCCTTATCAATTTTATGGCATGGAACGAGGACGCGGACGTGTATCTGGCAATCTGCACACCAGAGCTCATTATTCCCAGTACTGTACTATTTCGCTCAATTCGTAAGTCACGCGTCACGGCGCCAAAAATTTCAGAAATTTTTCGAACCTGTCACGGGTCACCGAGAGGGTTTCCGAATGTGCCAAGGAAGTCACGAAAATCGCGAAAAATCCAAAGAAAATCCCAATTTTTCTCCCGCAAGCCTATTTTGCTCTAGGATGCTGCGGCTCGCTCAGAAAATACCGCGTTGGAGGTGTTCTTCTCCTCTGCTGCCCTTCCTGTCCTTCCTCCGGCTGTATGTAGTGCTGGCCATGATATGATATGAATATGATTTTGGCGTATCATATTCATATCTGTATCATATTCACTGGTGGAGGCCCGTATCGTATTTGTAGCATATCATATTCATATTTTTGAAGGTGAATACAAATATATTTTGAATATATTGCAATATATTCTACCGCTGAATAATTCTAATGAAATCCATCCAGTTCAAGCCCTCTGCCAGACTGGCTTTGATCCATTCCTTTGTAACAATGTCCACTGAAGCTGTCTCGAGCTCCGCAGTCATGGATGAGCGATCATCAGATAACATCTTCTTGACGCTCGAGAACAGACGCTCGACGGAAATGCTGACACCCGGGATGGCCAAGATAGTATCGCGCGCAACACGACTCATATGTTTCAGAGTACCCTGCACTGGTTGGGAAATTCAAGTTTTTCAGTAGAATTTTCAGTGAAAAATGATGTTTGTTTTTCAGACATTTTTCACTCAAAATAGTGGTGAAAATTTTAAACTTTTTCACCACTTTCAAACTTTCTTTCAAATTTTTCACCTTAGGCTCAGGAAATGGTGAAAATATTTCAAGTTTTTCAGCTACTTTTTCAGTGAAAAATGTCTGAAAAACAAACGACAATTCTCACCAAAAATTCTACTGAAAAACTTGAATCTTCCAACCAGTGCTGGTTGTTCTGGTTTGAACGTCAGAACTATGCTAAGCAGGAAAAGCTCAGATTGAAGTGTACCTTCCATCATCCGAGCGGATCATCAAAGTCGGTCGCGACCGGAGAAATGTTACCGAAATTGTTTATTGAAGATGGAGTACGAACCGTCTGAGGAGGTGGGAAAGACCAGTTGTGGATTTTCCTCCGTGGTGCTGGATAATGTTGGCATGAGATATTCTGCGAGGGGGCCATTGCGCCGGCCAGAATGACACGACGGAGGAAGGCCATCGATGGCGGCACGGAGTTTTCCCAAGTCTTGGTCGAGGGACATGACAAGCTTGGAAAGAAAAGTTCTGACAACTTTTGGACAACTTGATCCTGATATATCCGAGATCTGAATGACAGCTATACGGCACCCCTGATCCGTTTCTAACTCTTTGGCCTATGCCGGATGTCCGCCAACTATCCAAGCACGGCTTCTGATGGCCGAAATTGAGATCTTGGCCTCCGAAAATATCCGAATATATCTAATTACGGCTGGCCTGTATTATATTATATTCATATTGTATCGTATTCATATTCCGGTATATTCGTATTCTGTGGTGGGCTTCGGGAGCGTATTATATTTGTATTCAAGTGAATATATTCAAAATATATTTTTCCGTATCGTATTCTTGGCCAGCACTAAGTTTTTGAGACCTGGATGTCACCTGCCAATTCCGTGCGGCCTACGTGTCTGGTCGCGTTTTAGCCGGATATCCGCGAAGAAAGATACAAAGAAATACCTTCTGTGTCGTAGGAATCCAGATTATTGACTGAAACATGCCTGGAGATAAGGGGTGAGTAGATTATCGAGGGCAAAGTGAATGTAGAAAGTGGCGCGGAATTTAGCTACTGGTTGTGCAGGCCAGGCCCAAGTGCTGAATCTTGGCACCAGTAGCTAAATTCCCGGGAGAAAGGAGGAAATACAAGACAAGAAAAGCTTACCCTCGACATGGCGGATGGTGGTCAGGACAGAGAGGTGATGTGTTTGTTTGGTCACATCATTCACATCACTGCCTCGCTCAGCATTAATCCAGAGCTCGACATTGGTCTTCCAGAAGCAACAAGTATGTATATGCCCTTCAGTCGCGCATAATTATATCACTATTGAGTACATTTCTCAGCGAGCTCGGGGGATGGGGTCGGGAAGTCGATGAAACCGCCCCGGGAACGCCGACTGAAGTGAACGCAATGCCTAGTGATGCCGCCGGTGCGGGTGCAGGTGCAGCAGGTCCAGTAAGCAGTGCTGCTGCTTTCAGTTCAGCCACCTTCTGCTTCCGAGCTGCATGTTCCAATTCTGCTGAAACACGAATAATATCAGGTCTAACCAACCTTTGCGGTGTGAACCGAAACGGTTGCAAGGTTGCAGCGTCTCGCATTTGTGCTGTGTTGACAACCCAGTCGTTGGAAGGGAAGGTGTGTGTTACCGCCAACGCCTTTTGGGTTGCCTCCTCTCGTTCCTGGTAGACTTTGCGAGACCTTTCAACGCGACAATTATTGTCCGCACAATTATGCTGAATGTTGATTGTGCATTGGATGTCCTGTGCGACATGGTTATTGGAGAACCCGTATATAGCCAAAACTACTCACGCCGATATTCAAGGCCTGCACTTCGTCCATCCCTTGGATCTGCCTCATGCAATATAAGGCGTGGGCCTCCCCCACAATTGTGCGGGACACTAGCACGAAGTCCGCTTTACCGGATTCTTGAGCGACCGAGCCGATGATTTGGACAATCTCCACGACGTTCCCGATCCGCCTGCAGGTACCGACAGTTGTCACCTCGTCATATACGACAGAGTCGCCAACGTTGCACGAATCGCCGTTGCCGAGAACAACAACGCCCGGGGTGTAGACTTGAGTGGTAGTTTGGTTCCGCCCACTCATTGCTTGAATGAGGATGTTGGCCTTGGAAGAGACCGTCCTGGACCACAGTTTCTTTGTCCCGAGTTTTTGACAAGTACCTTCGGAAATCGTGAGTTGGTGTTTCGATCTTGGCGAAGCTGTATCTTACCTGCCGGATTTTTCTCCTCCGACTTGTCGAAACCAAGAAGACGAGAGCCAAAGGAATTCAGGTCTAGTAGGCGCAGCGGCGCGGCTGCGGCAGTGACCCATCTCGTGTCACTGAGCTCGGCCAATGTCAGCTTCATCCAAGGAGTCTCCGGGGACGGCGGCACGTGCTGTGTATTGAGAGTAGATGAAGATTGAGCCGGCGTCACGGTTGTGGACGAAACAGGGTGTACGACGGGCTGGGAATTATCTTTCGGAAGCGGATCGGCGGCGGAAGAGGATTGCCCGGGTTTTTTCTTGGGTTTGGAAGCGGCCGGGGTCGGGGCTTGTACGTTCTGGCGAAAGAAGCCTCCACTCAGGAGATGTCGAAGCCGATTCCCGCGGGCCATGCGAGCGGCAATGTCTCGAGAAGGGGCATGCCGATTACTGTGCACACTGCATGCCCGAATAATCGCGTTGAAGGATTCAAAGCCTTCAGTCGCAAATAGCATTGCAGGTCCGAAGCGACGGATATGAGCCGGGAGATGCAGAATGACGTGGAACTTGGGCTTGTTGAACCAGTTTAAGCTGAGTCGGCAGGTACAGTCCAAGAAGTGGTCAATAGCCGTCTCCAGATCAAGCTACTTGATGTTAAATATCTGGTGGAGCGGAGAAATATAAAGCTTGCTCACGATAAAGCGATCCAAGTCCCGTATATGCGGCTGCCATACAAGGGTGACAACTGCACTGAGAGCCGTCCAAGCATGTATCTTGTCCTCCGGGAGCAATCCCTGCAAAACGAAAGGAGCTACTTGTACTAGGGCACGAAAGTCTCGTCCGGTGAGTGAGCCGGCATAATTGACCAATGTATGCCCGGAAAGAGGAGAAATCCCCAAGCCGGAGACGTTAAAGGAGGAAAGGCGGGCAATCAGAATGTCTTTGTCTTCCTTTTTCTTCAAACGTGCCACCGCATCCCGCCAAAAATACTTTACAAACCCGAGCAGAATGACGTGTAGAATTTCAACTGGGGTGTCTTGATGAGGGTCAAAGTCTTGAGCGAGTACAAATATTAGGAACGGGCACTGAGTCAGATATTTGGTTGATACCTTTAATGTGCCATACGGGACTTGTTATATCGGGGGGAAATGTTCGCCGTAGATTGGCGATGTCGACCTGCTTCTGAGGCTTGGATCGGCCGCGTTTCGTTGAGATGGCGAAAATGCGTTCCAAGAAGGCGCCCTGGAATACATCCTTGATCCCCGACTTGGTTTTTTTTCCGTTTGAATTCGGCCTGGCCGCCAACGATAATGGCGGATTCAAATTGATTTTGTAGTTCTTTGAGTGTTTCCGCTCGATTCCGGGCCTTGGATTGCTGAGTAAAAGATGAGGATAAGATTTATTCTTCAAACACACACGTACCGTCACAAATTGCTGGACACGGCTCACCATCTCTGATACCGTCTGTTTTTTCTTTGCGTGTTTCTTCTTCTTCTTCTTTTTCTTTCCATCGGCGGTATCATGACTGCTAGCGGAAGTGTCACTGACACTGCCAGTGTCCGAATTACCACCAATATCTTCCTCGTCATCTTCCTCGTCTTCCGGATCACCCTGGACCCAGCACGCACGGCAGAAAAACTTTCCGCGAAATCCGATGTGGCAGGCAAATTCACTTTGCATGGGATTATCTCCCAACATGGCGAGGACGGAGGGAATTACGAGGACCAGCTCTCGATAATAGGAATCCCACGCCCAGATACCTTGATCTTGGGCGACTCTTGAACTCTAATGAGCTGATAGTTCTATCCGAGATTCAGAAATTTACGCACGTGAGCTGCTCGACGATGCCATCGAGCATTTCCAACGGAGGTGCAATGTTGGAGGTAGAGAGGAAATGTATGT